GACCCACGTGTAGTATCTCGTGGTGGCGCAATACTCGCTTGCTTTTTCTGCTTCTGCTTCTCTGAGGCTGACTTCCTCACTCTGCAGTAGCAATTGCTCCCAGGCCTCCTCCTGGAGTAACTGAAAGCCACCCCACTGCGCATGAGCTGTGCAGAATTCTTTCTCGGTTTGGACCTCTACAAGCCTGACCTCTGTTGTGACGACAGGAAAGCCTATATGTCAGGGCCTAAGTGTTATGAGACCTCTAACGGTTACAGTTACGATTTCCTTTATCTGATTCCCTGAACAAAGCACAGATTTGAATAGATCTAAAACAACAACAACAACAACAACAACAACAACAACAACAAAAATGGCATTTCAGAGGGAAAACAAACTTGGATTTTGTTGTTTGCATGTCTTACAATATTTAACACACTAGATTTGTACTTTTCCTGTTGTAAATAAACAAGTGTCAGTGGAATTAGACTTTTCTGATAATTTTATTATTCATAGAAAAATGTTTGACACACACAAAAATAACAACATTGATTTAGTTCAGCTTTTTTGAGCAAAATGAATGCATTAATGACTTTCTCTAACTTTGGTATCAGCATGTACAGCGTCTCAAATATGTGCTCAGTTTATTGAACTCCTGGAGGGAATCCATGAAAATCCTTCTAAATGAAGCATATCACCTGTTGGAATTTAGTACTTCTGTGAAATACCACATCAATCAACGTTCAGGGCTTAACCAGCATCTTCAAGAAGTCCTAATACAGCTTTCCAGCCAGGTGAGCTCCTTGAGGTGCTTCTTGCTGTCTGATGAAAGATCCTCACTACTGTATAAAATGTGTGGATATCTCTCACTTCATGAATCAGTGTACCAGCACTTCAACTCCATGTTCCATCTTCTGGCCTGCTGTTAAACAAAGTAGGAACCTTGGAAATTCACAGGATCTGAGCAAGTTAGTAGTTCCTTCTTTGAAAGGTGTTTCTTTCGACCATTGTCTACTAAGCTACTCAGGATGTGACTCTTCCTGTGGTGGGTTTTTCAATATTTCTATGGAAGGGAATTCAGTGAAGAATCTGTACAACAAATTTTTCTTCAGTTATCCAGGACAGGAGTATCTAGATTCTAGACAGATTCTTTCCTTTTTATTCTTGTGCCAGAGGAATGATTCAGAAGGAGGTGAAAAAAAAAGGAGAGAAACCACATTATCCTGAATTGCATCCCCACCTTAGCTACTATGCAGAAGACCCTGAGGAGGACAGAGCACCAGCTATGTCCCACAAATATTAGTTCATAGTTATTACTGAAATATATGGGATGTATCTCTCCCAGAATGGTCTGCATTTTATAATATATAGAGTGTGAGCATCACTGCTGTTTTCCTGCATGTTTTGAAACAAAAATTAGTTTCATTTTACATAATCTTCCTAAATAACTCCTCATACCATGGTGAATTAGTATTTGAATATGTTGGGCTGGGGAGACAGCTCAGTAGAAGTGCTTGCCTGGCATGTTCAGGATCCTGAGTTCAATCCCCAGCACCACAAAAAAATGTATTTCAATATGTATGTCTATTGATATATGAAAATTCTAGTGTTGGAATGTTCCAAGGTATTTCAGATTTTCTTATAAATCATGTACCATTTTAAAAATAAAATATAATGACCACGTATGATGGCACATGGCTGTAATCCCAACACCACGGCGGCTGAGACAGGAAGATCAGCACATGTCTACAATGTGAGTCAAGCCCAGCCTGAACTGCACAGTGAGAGTTTGTCTCAAAAAAGACCAACACAATAACTAGTACATAATTACAAACTATAAGCAGGAATTTTATATGTTATGTTTTCTTAAGAGCATGATGGCTGTGGTAATTTTCTCATTTAATGGGAAAAAACAAACATAAAATTTACTAATAGTATTAATAATTCTATCTCTTTTTTCATAGTTTGATTATGAAATTACAACAGATGTGGAATACGCTCCCTATAGAGGACTTCAGAACCTGCAATCAAATGTAGAACTTGTTCGCCTCTTTAGTTTTCAGAACTTTTTCCGCTGCATGTTTTATGATAACCGTAAAATTGTTGAGTACCTGAAGGAGTTGTTGGTTGATGTTCTTAAGTACAATAAATGCTGAGATCACATTCATTCTTTCTGTTCCAGAGATGGCGCCCAACAATGGATCATTTGGAAGTTTCTTCCAAGTTTTAACTTTTTAATAATATCTTGGATGTAAGACGACAAATATGTGCTTATACAATAAAAGTGGTCACTTCAGCATTGGCAAATTATTTAAACTTGTTTTGACCTACATTCTTTCTCTACTTTGCTTCAAAATAAAGGAAAACCTAGGAGCACCACTGTGAAACTCTTATCAAAATGGTCAAAAGCAAATGAGACAGCTAACACATGCTTTTAGGATCACAGTGAATTAATCTGAGTCAGGTTATGAACATCGAAGATTTACATAAGTATAACTCATTTTAGCTGTAGAATAAATCTCCATGAATTCTAAGAGTACGTTAGGAAAGCCAACCTTGTATGATCTGAAGTTCTCAGTGTATCAAAAAACAATGAAAGATCTGTCTTAAGACTGTGGCCAGGAATAGCAGGCGATTCACAGGTAATTGCCAGGACACAAACGTAACATGTCTTTCAATCACTAACGTACATCTTCCATCACGCCTAGTGCGTTCCCATCTCCTGTGTATCATATTGCAAATGCTCCGTGTGCTACACTCCCTTTGGGTCTAACAACTCCAGTTCAGTTAAGTTGTAGCTCTCTCTCATGTTCTACTAAATACTATTTTACCTTCTGTTGTGGTGTCTCAACAGACTTAAGAGGCTCATCAGATGCTCTTTTCCTCTAACTGTTTGTTCTCCCCGTTTTGCTGATCTTGTCATATTACTAGTGTGAGGTGAAACTCAGGGAAAGGAGACGTAGGAGAGCTCTGGCATCACTGACGGCTGAGCTGCTAGCCTCAGCTTCCCCGTGCTGACAGGGCTCCACTTGACCCCATCACAGGGCCGGGGTGGGGTGGGGCTTATCAGTCAGTCTGTAGATTCCCCAGGACACCACTTCAGGGACACTTCTCAGTATAATCTTGTGCAGTGCAATTATTTGGCTTCATTCTGCTGCCCACCTTGTGGTTCTGTAGTCTCCAGAGTTCTTTCTGCCATCCTCTGAGTTTCAGCCATTGATGGCAAACTCTTTCATGATAAATATTAGAAGAGGGAAAGTAAGAGAAACAAAAGCAACTTTTATTTACATAAAAGAAGAATAAGAGGGAAAATGGAGAAAAAGAAATAACTGAAAATTGTGGACATGTCCTAAGTGCAAGGTAGGCCACGACAAAAACAAGAAGACCACAGAACAGGAAGACGGCAATAGCTGCACAGACAGTGAGCACCATCCTCCATATCCACTTAGATCCAGTTTATCAAAAGTTGGTCTGTTCAAGCATCCAAGCCCTAATTGGCAGTTCATCCCCTGTTGTTCATGCTCCATTTGGGACTTGTTATTGGTAGGTTATGTCCTGTTACTTAGCCTTTGTTGCAGTTCTTTTTTTCCATAATTTTATTGAGAAACAAATAGCAATGAGACAGTTTCAAACCAAATTGGTAGGACAGTTTCAATAATTAACACATTGCATACATTCTTCCTAGTGGTTAATTGCTGTACAAGATGCGGACTTGATATCCTATTTACAAACACGACTAGAACAAATTCCTCTATTCATTAAGAGAATGTAACTATATATCTATCCTAACCATTTTGAATACACAGATACAAAATGGACATTCAATATCCAGGCCCTGTGAGTGTGGGGGAGAGCTTCTGCTCTGTCTTGTGCCTGCCCACCACTCCAAGCCCAGACCCACAATGTAAGAGGCCTTTGCCCTTGTTATCTGGACCTTCCCCTGCCTGGCCAGACCCAGCGAGCCTGCCATCTGAGTAAGAACTCCTGCCGCGCTCTTGGGAGTCCTGTAGACCCACCAAAACACAACACTGGTGAGTGTATGGGAGAGCTTCTGGGCTCTCTCGCGCCCTCTCCTCATACCCTTCCAGACCCAGCCAAGACCTAGCATACAGGCTTGAGTTAAAATCCTACAGCTAAAGTCCCTGCAGTGAGACTAGGATCAAAACCACACAGCAAATCCAGGAACAGATCATCTTACCAGAGGTGTACAGCAGGCCCACCTCCAAGGGAAACAGTAGTAAGGAGCTGGGCACAGTAGCCTAACCCAAGCCAGGCACAACTTCATGAACTAGAACCTGGTATATCAGTACCCAAATTTCATTAAGTGATAACGTAATTGCACCAAAGCTCTACACTAAAGGCCACATGTCAATGTTAAATGAAATGATAAAGACAAGAAGCAAAATGCAACTGTAGGTCTCAAGCCCACCCATAAAAAGTGCAGAGGACACTAGCTCAGTTGAACTAAATGAATCAATAGCGTCGAAAGTAAATAAACAACAGCAGAAAGATATAGAGGAACTCAGAGCAGAATTAATTTCTGGAATTAAAAAAAAAAAGAAAACTCTGACTTTATAGCATCTGAACTTAAGAATCAAATGCAGAAACATATGGAGGAAACACAATGCCCAACCAGAACAAATACAGTGGACACTAACTTAGCTGAAATACATGAATTAGTAGCATCGGAAGTAAATAAGCAACTACAGAAAGGTTTAAA